CAAGAAGACCTCGACCGGCGGGGTGAGCCCCACCGGGTGCACACAATTGTGCACCTGGTGACACACTATGCTACTGTGCTCTGCACTGTGTCCGCTGTGCTATTTGCGTCACAGCGAGCTGTCGTGTGATCTGTTACAGGACATACGCAGTCTAGTCTGTCACATTCACATGTCATCTGATCTGTCGCACCACCCATGCCGTTCTTTCTGTCACAACACATGTGCCGTCTGCTCTGTCACAACGTCGTTATCTAATCTGTCATAGCACATGTCATCCGATCTGTCGCACCACCCATGCCGTTCTTTCTGTCACAACGCATGTGCCATCTGCTCTGTCACAACATCGTTATCTTATCTGCCATAGCACATGCCATGTGGTCTGTCGCAGCGCGCGTGCCATCTGGTCCGTCACGGCAAATCTGTCATCTGACCTGTTATAGTCAGTTATCTGACCTTTCAAAACATATCTGTCTTTTGATCTGTCACAACATATAAGTTATCTGGCCTGTCATAAGATATATGTTATCTGTCCTCTCATGGCACATTTATCATCTCGCCTGTCATGGCCCATATGTCATCTGACCCGTCACGGCCTGCCATGTGACCCGTCACCCGCCTGCAGCGGTCATTCGTTGGTGGCATGATCGACATGACCCAGTGGCGGAAATACATGGGCGGAGGGTCACCCTCTGACCCCGCCGAGGACGACCGCGAATCACGCGGAGGGGACGACGAGTACCAGCTGAAAAGGTCAGAGGCCACTCGCAGGTTAAGGGTCGACGCGTGCTGAACAGGCAGTAGGCAGCCGCGCCGCGAGAGAGGGCAAGGTCATGTCAGGAGTTTAGAAACGCAGTCGGAAATGATCTGCGCCATGTGGTGTAGTCAGGAGCGTTGTTGCGCAAAATGAGTCGGGGGGGGGGGGGGGAGGGGGGCGAACGGTAAAAAATGACCTAATCTGCCTCCAAAATATGTCTACAAACAGGTTTCTCCCAGGATTTTGCCCACGTTCTTCTCAAGGTTGGGGCGGGCCTAATGCCCAAGTTTGGGGGAGGGCGAGGGGGGGGGGGCGGGCTGGAGCCCCTCAACTGAACAGTAAACCTTCCCGCTGGGCGTACTTATTGTCACCAACGCGTAATGAATGTCCGCATTATGCACATTTTAGGAGCATAACATATCGCAGTAGAACCCCAGTCATGTGATCTGTTTGCTCATCTGTTGAATTGTTCACGCATTATTTGGATCGTGCTATTGAGCGAAACCGGGGCACATGTTTCAGCGCTGCTTGCGGGGCCGGAGTCATGTAGCCCACAACACACAATGATGGCAGCGGGCAACCATTGAGGGCATTCAATCCATACTTTTTTTGGGGGGGGGGGCTCAAAATATTGTCATGGTCAGTCATAACAGTCAGTCATAGCAGTCAAACAGTCATGGGCCCATCGCAATGAATCCGTGGAAAATGCAGACGGGCCCCTACTCTCACCCCAGCCACTGGATCTCCAGCCCCAACTTTCTTTCTCATTGTTGCAAAGTGCTTCGTGCACTAAGACATGATCTAGCGCATTCATCAAGCATCCGTCGCTATAACCATGACGGTCAAGTGCTGTCGCCCTGACCTGACCTGACCTGACCTGCATTCCAGGGAGGTGCACGAGGACGGCTGCGAGGAACACCGCATCAAGTACGTGCACGTGCTGAGCGTCCTTCTCTCCGGCTGCTCGTCTCCAGCAACTCGCTCAAGTTCATCTCCATCATCATGATTCCCATTCCCTGGCTGTACGAGAAGTGAAAGTGGGGATGATGACGTTGATGGCATGCTGATGCTGATGTTGATGCTGATGCAGCTGATGCTGATGCTGATGCTGATGCAGCTGATGCTGTTGATGCTGCGGCGTTGCTGACGGTGATGTGAACACGTCATCACTGTGAACGCCATGCGCTGGCTTCACTAGGAATGATCGTGATGATTTCGAGTCACGATGATGATGGTGATGATGAAGTTGTTATGATGGTCGCGGGACACCGCTGACTGGGATGCAGACGCACCATCACCGCGATGTCATTCCAACCCGTACACCGTATGGCAGCTGATGGTTGCCATGACGACCGCCGCTTTCGCGATGTGAACACGACTCTGATGGTGGCCTCACTGTGAGAGCAGGGGTGGCGACCAAGGTGTGGTGTTGTGGTGTGACTTACCTGTGAGCAATGCCAGACTGTGGTGAAGTCTGACCTTTCAGCCTGCAAACCAGTCTGAACTCCGCGTGTCGGCGGTGAACGACCAATCATGATCAAGACCTCGTGCGAATCATCCAAATCACTGCTAATTATTTAGCAGTTTGCGTGCGTTTTTTGGACAAACCTATGACATTTCCGCGTGCGATGTAACGCAAGCGACGCATTTTATGTCCGAACGCATAACTTAGGCTCGATTTAATGATAGAAACAGCGTAATCACGAAAAGTTTATTGGCACCTTGCAAATTGAGCCCAAACGCGTCGAGATTCTCCACTTTTAAGGCAACTGCGGTAATACTAATGAGCACGTGCTGTGAATGTGCTAAAGGGAAGCTAAGTCGGCATATGTACACAAATGAAATAGCAGAGGTGAAATGCCAGTCCCCTTTTTCCTCAAAGTCAGTCCCCACTGTTTTCGGGCTATTGCTCTTCCATTCATTCTTTTTAGCTCCACCGGCTTTGCGGGCAAGAGTGTTTGACATGCGATGCACGGGACGTGCGGATACTTTGCCCACATCGCAGGTGAAGAAATATTAAAAGGTAATATATATGATGCATCTTAAGACAATGTCATCGGTTAAGGGTAGGACAAGCCTTTTTTGAGACAAAGGAATTCTGACCATCATTTGCGGATTCTCATCTTGGGGCTTACCTCCTTGGTGGGCTAGATTAACGTGATTTTTCTGACATTGACTGCAGGCTTCTAGCTGTACTCACAAGATGTTGCAGCCAATTTTGCATCATATCATAAATTTAAAAGTTATGCGTTAGATCATTTGTCTCCAACGCATTGTAAAACAGGTCGTTAAGACCTTAGTGTGGAAGAGGTTTTACAACATGTCTAGTACGGCACTAAAACTGCAGCTGAAGAGATGCTGCAATAAAACTATAAAAGTTTTATTTGCTTCACACGGTTAATAAAGCCCGTTAATGAAGTGGCGTAAATAAACCCGGCACAGTTTGACCTCGTGGGTATTTTTCTCGCAACGCAAAGTGCTAAGAAAGTACAAAAGTTCAGCAAACTTCCAGGATGATGACAAGTCACGGAAGATGTCTTTCCAAGCAGGTTCGTAGGCCATGCATGCGCCTCATGAATTCAGCAAACTCTCATGCCGCTTACCCACACAACAACAAGGGTGATCTAGCGCCGATTGGTTAACACGTCGGAAACCGTTTCGCTTATCAGGGATCGGACGAGAGCCTTACTAGGTTAATTTGTGTGAAATTAGCCTGAATGAAAGCCACGTACGTGTAGTGTGAAACCATACAAAAAAATTGGTTCATTGTGTTTTAGCAAAATTTTGGCCACATCACAACGACTGGGAAGTGGCAAGTCATGACTGTTAAATTTTGTGTAAAACGTTTCTGTTGACGGTCTGCAATAAGAGAGGAAGCATAAGGAGTTTTGCATGCCCTCTCCGCAGCCAAGCATACAGGCTCGTGGCTTCTCTGAGGCGTCTGACATCTCATTAGGAACGAAAAGGAAACATTTGACATGAAGAAAAATATCATTGACTTAAATGCAACAGATGTCCATGTAGTTGGCAGGTCATTATGTCTAGTTTCGCAGTCAACATTTCAATACTGCAGCAAAAATCTGAGCGGAAATGATGAGCATTTGTGGACAGCAGCATCAGACCAACGCGTTGTGAGCAGGCAGGCCCGCATGGTGTTTGTTCTCACGACAGTAATGGAAGCCCTACCGGCATGCGCATTATTTTAAGCTTCTTCAGTTGGACAGAAAAAGCGCGCAGTGGCAGGAGTGTGACGGCACCGCGTACCTCGTCTTCAGAACAGACGTGGCTGCAAAGTCGTTTGGCAGTTTTAATGGTCGCGATCAGTGGGAATGCTTTTGCGTTTCGGTGAATTACATACTTACGACTTCATCCACTGTTTTTCAGGAAATGGAAATTATTTCGTCCTACCCCATTACGGTCATTCTCTGCAATCACGCGCGTTCATGTACTCATAGCAGAAATGTGGTGTGCTAAAATAATCTGAGAGGTGACGGGGCAAGCCAGTTGAAAAGGTTGGTATGGAGCTCCTCAAACTGAATACGAAACTACAGCGCTGACTCAAAAGGCCTGACGCGAAACATCCACCGTGCAAAATTCTAGTTGTCATTTCCGTCTGCCGGCGCATTAACTACCTTTCGCCTGCACGTGCTGAACAATCCGAACACCCCGCCCGTCACTAATTAAAGAGATTGGATTAATTTCTGCCCTGATGCAATTACAGTCTTGAGCAATTTGTCTTTGCCCGCTATCTGTGTGCCACCTGTCGTCAAAATTGCGACGCATTCGCCTCCGCGTGTATAATTTGCCACGGTACTCGGCAATTGTTTTCGTCAGTGGGCATATGGAGCAATGACTTCTGGTTTCTCGTTCAGCATTTCAAGTGGCGCTGCGTTCATCCGTGCCAGGACAAGTCACGAGTAGGCCGAAGCAACGCGATGGCTCTTAGCCAGCCTGGTTAATTCGTCCAAAGTGGCCGGACTTAGACGCTGGGTGGTGCTTGGTGCCGGCTCGGCGAGCAGTAAAGGGGCTTGTCATGGTGTCATGGCACATTTTAGTCCCGGTGTTGTACTTTTCATCATGGGCTACGATGCTGGACGCCTTACTGTTGATGGTGCGAGAAGAAACACATTTAAGGTGATCTCAGGCTGGATGCGGATCATATCTTTCAAAAAAAAGTCTGCTACGCTGCTAGTTTGATGTCACCAATTACTTTTCTAAGCAGCGCAAAAAAATTCAGTTTTGCTCGAGGGGAACATGCAGGCTTTCCTTTCTAGGACACGTTCAGGTGTCATGATTTATGTATGACGGCAGGCTGCGGAAATGTAGGTTCGTGATATATATATATATATATATATATATATATATATATATATATATATATACATCTTGCACATTATGCTATAACAGATCTACATACGTCCTGAGCAGATAAGACTACTCTACATTGATATATGTACATCCATTCAGCTTTATGTGTCACTTGTGTTGCTTCAAAATCGCCAACCAAGTAAGCTTTGCTGCTCGGTTTTATGACAATGTTTTTCTCGGTATAGTCATCTGCGTGCCCGCCAAACATACGGACGTGGATAACGCAGACAAAAAACGATTACGATTTAATCCATGACGAATGACCGATTGATGTAGAGGCAATCAATTTGATATCAACCTCTTGGAGAGAATATTGTGTTTTTCCTCTTATTTTCATCACGAGCGGTGGCGTAGCTTAATATTTCGCCATTTTTCTCGCCAAATTTTGTCAAATTGGAGCACGGGATGCTATTTCATCCATCCAATTTAATCTTCGTCGTTCAGGTGGCCCGTGTCGTCAGGTGACCGTGTTGTCAGGTGAGCAGGCCTGTGTGGAGCAGGGCTCCTTCAGTAGCCTCTGACCGTCGCCGTCTGTTTTCAATGGTGGCACCGCCTCCGGCAGCTTTACGACGCTCAGCGGCAGTAAAACAGGTCATGACCTGGCCGCGTGGAGGTCAATTTCAGAGGTCAGAGGGAGGCGTGGGAACCGGAACGCCCCAGCATCTGAGAAAATGGACCAATCCCGCATACAACGAGAGCAGCAATTTCAAATATCCTTGATTTCTCACCGGTAGACAAGCTGTCTCAGCTACAGCAAGGAATGTTATTCGTGCTGTCCAATTCATATAAGGATTTTGGGAGCGTGCTGTTGGCATGCAGGCTCATGATATCGTCGGCCCCTTCTCCAACCCCACCAAGCATGTTTACCATTTTTCGTGTTAACCAAATTTCAGCCTATCCCAGGCATTCTCCCCTTTCCACTGCACATGCATATATCATGTGTACATGTACAGCATCTACATGAACACTATATATTGGACATCTGGCCACGACTCATCACTGACGGACCGAAGTGGCACGGAGGTTACTGCAAATTGTCATGTCATTGTTTTGATATTGATGATGTCATACCATTCAGCATGACATCAATAGCAGGGCTCGTTGGCCCACATGATCATATGTGAGGTGAAGGTCGACATTGACGCTGCGCTCACACGGACCTGGCCAATGCCCCAGGCGTGAAAGATGCCGACCGGAGCGACGTGATGATTTCTGGATGATTGATGCGGATGATGATTGTTGATTGATGACCATGGATGATTGATGATCAGTACTGACTGGCGATGACTGCCAATTATTGGTGACCGGTGCTGGTGATTGTCAACGGTGATTGGTGCTAGTGATTGTCGATAATGATTGGTGACGGTCGATGACATTTGCTGATTATTGATGATGCCGACTGAGGATGATTACGTCAAAATGGCTCTTGAATATCAGGTAAGGGGAGGGACGCGATAATCATACCCAGAACTCTCATATCATGCACTGGCAGCAGCGTTCTTGCCAGTTCACTGGCTGGATTTCCGAAGGCTAGCTGGCACACTATTCAAACACGCTAACCACCCGTCCACGCCTGCTGTCACGGCCCCACCGCCGAGATGACGGATGCGCCCATCGCGTGACGGTCAGTCATGCATCAGGTGCACACACGCGCTGTCACGTGCACGCGCGCGCCTTCTGCAGCAGCTGCCGCGGTGACACAGCAGACAGCTCACAGCACGGGGCACACACCGGCGCGTGCTGTGCAGAGATACTTGGCGCGCTGTGATGATACGGTGGCGGCTACGTATGACAGATGACACAGGAAAGGGAGCGGGTAGGTCGATCAAAGCGCCTGGAGGGGCGTCAGCTCAGAAAGCTGCTTTGTAGCGCCCTTACTCGCTTTGCGTGCTTTCATCCGCCTTTCGGTCTTTACGCTGCAGTATGTCTGGGAAGGTGCGGCCGCAGTCGGGACCACATTGAAAGTCCGCAGTGAAGCAGCTCTGCGAAGCGATGTTGGTGGTTTGTGGCAACGGCGAATTACGTCAAATATCCCATAATGCACAGATCACAATCGCACAAACCGCAGTCGTTAGTCTGCATTGCATAGGCTTGAAGAGGTGCTCGCAGAGATCGTGATTTGCTCCTCGTTGTAGAGCGATGCTGCTTCAAAACGCAGTATGACGTGGAGCGCCCCGTCATTTGATAACTACCCCAAGCTTTGCGCGATCGTATGGCATATACTGAACGTCAGAACAATCTCGAGAAATGAAACCGTGAAAGGAAATAAATTTCTGCACCGTTAGATATCTCTTTACATGGTAGTATTTGTATGGAATTTATCCAGCATGCTTTGCCGTAATTAGGAACTGTTACGGGAAAACACTGAGCGGCCACAGCATATTCAGAATAAACTGGCCAGATGTTTTCCTCTTTGAGGTGTTTGTTTCTTCCCACTGAGGTCTCTCGGTCTCTAAATCAGCGAACCATTCACCTGTCATAAAGCAAAATCTACATTCCAACCAAAAGTGATCTAGCCAGAGATGCTCTCAGATAACGCCGCACGCCTGAACTGCAGGTCAGTTTTATCTCCACGTGAGTACTGGCCCGAGGGTCTCCCTGCAGGCGGGACATGACCACTTCCGAGATTCATTCATCGCGCTCAGATTGCTCGGCGCTCTATAGCCTGTCACGATCCCATTGCTCCGACCAGAAGCTCTTTGTGGGCTGTGCACAGTGCACACGTGTCAATCACAGAGAAACGTGCCCGTTTCAACGATCGCCAGCGGTCCAGAAGTCCAGCTGATTATCCATAAACGATGCCATAAATTATCGCCGTGCAAGTAACCGAACCAATTACCGACCAGCAACATCTGCGGCGGCGGAGGCGCCTGCGCCGCACGCAGGAGCACGCGGCGGCACCTTCAAAGCGGCTGCCGTGGGAGCGGCGCGAGGCGCGTGGGAATTGAAGATGGGCGCGGAAATTGGGGAGTTTCAGATCAGTTATGCGGCCCGGCGGGTACCAGGCTACTGATGCGTGATGATTAGAGCGATTCGGCAGTGCTGAGCGCTGAGGTACGTGTGATACACACAGGGCAGCGGTTCCACGCCCGGTAATTGACCAGCGGCGTTGTAATTTGCGTTGTAGGTACTTGTGTAATTGTTTATGAGCGCAAAATCGACTCATTATCGTGAATGTGCGTGTGAAGTGCTTGTAATGATTATTTCTGTCCAGATGTGTGCTGACGCGGACACGGCTTCGTGCATCGAGAGCTTAGGAGGACGTAGACTGCACATTTGATGAAAACATGCTACTTGTAGAGAATAGCGTTTGTTAGCATGTTTTGACGTTCGCTATCATGATGTATTTTGACGTCACTTTAATTGCCACTGACGAGTGTTACCACGTTAAGTGCATTACATCATGACTTAGGTTGCAGAGTCGAGCCTGAAGGCCGTGTGACTCTGGACATGTCAAAAATATTGAGGGGGTTTGTTCTGTCTATCTCTCTCATTTTCTCGTATTTTGTTCGAAACCATCACATTATATTGTGGGCAGGAAGGGATTTCTCATTTTAGTCGACTACCACCAGGTACATTGGTGACATGATGCGATGAAAACGGATAATTCAGCTTTTTTTGCAAACAACCAACGGTGTACAACCAAGTATGTGTTCACATAATATTGCTATGGTTGAACTTACTGCATTGCAAAGACCTAAGCACCAATATACTCATAATGAATCGGAAATTTTATCTACCTACCCGTTGCTACTTGATACAACATGCTAAGGTGTTCATCCGTTTCCGACGTGCGTGTTGTGGGTATTATTATCTCATTATAGAAAACCAGCTAGGCGTGAAAACAGGGACAGGCGAAGATAGGGACAGAGAGGAAGAGAGCAAAGACAAAAAGCATCACAAGGGAAGAGAGAGAGAGAGAGCGAGAGAGAGAGAGAGAGAGAGAGAGAGAGAGAGAGAGAGAGAGAGAGAGAGAGAGAGAGAGAGAGAGAGAGAGAGAGAGAGGAGAGAGAGAGAGAGAGAGAGAGAGAGAGAAGAGAGAGAGAGAGAGAGAGAGAGAGAGAGAGAGAGAGAGAGAGAGAGAGAGAGAGAGAGGAGAGAGAGAGAGAGAGAGAGAGAGAGAGAGAGAGAGAGAGAGAGAGAGAGAGAGAGAGAGAGAGAGGAGAGAGAGAGAGAGAGAGAGAGAGAGAGAGAGAGAGGAGAGAGAGAGAGAGAGCGAGAAGATAGAGAGAGAGAGAGAGAGAGAGAGAGGAGAAGAAGAGAGAGAGAGAGAGAGATAGAGAGAGAGAGAGAGAGAGAGAGAGAGAGAAGAGAGAGAGAGAGCGAGAGAGAGAAGAGAGAGAGAGAGAGAGAGAGAGAGAGAGAGAGAGATAGAGAGAGAGAGAGAGAGAGAGAGAGAGAGAGAGAGAGAGAGAGAGAGAGAGAGAGAGAGAGAAGAGGAGAGAGATAGAGCGAGAGAGAGAGGATAGAGAGTGTTTGCTCTCTCCCAGGGGAGCAGTATGACTAAGACCTTCGCTGATCGCTCTGACGGAAGTAAACTCAGAGCACAGCATGCCTCGCGAAGGCACGGACCATTCTGTAATCGCAGCTAACGGAAAAGTGCCAACCAACAGCTGTCACCTGCCCCGAACCCCACACATAACAGTTCTGGGTGTTCTAGGAAGGGCCATGTCTCACAGACAGTGCGTGTTGATGCTTTGGTCTGCGCTTTGCGGGAATGGGAGACGTGTGATGAGATTTCTGTGAATGGGACGTTGTAGTAAAATACTCGCTGTGTGATGACCCTGGTCCCCAGACAAAGCGCCGGCCTGCATTTGGACGGTGGACGACATATGAATCTGGCACGTGCATTGCCCGTAACATCCTTTATCCACTAAAATCCTGAGAAGGCACAGGCGAGGACGTCTGCTGCAGAAGAGGATGCCTGCTGCAGGTCATGGCGCCGCCTCCGTCGAGGCGGCACATCTGAGGAAACCATCGCTTTCCGCCGCGCTGCGAAACGATCCAAATTGCCTCCTCTTTCGCCCAGCAGCCGAACCCACCGTCTCGGCGCTGCATTCGGCGCACTGCGCCGCCGCCACCGCGCCACATCTGCCACCGCACCCGCGCCACGCTCGCCGCTGCGCCGGCAGCCGCGCGGCGGAAGGAAAGTGGGCGGGCTAATTGGTAATTGGCCGGTCCGTGCCGGATTGGGCGCCTTCCTTTTGATCGCGGCCCGTGCCTCGCAGGCGATGGAGGTGCAGCCGGTGGCAGGCGGTGGAGGCGCAGCTGGTGGCAGGCGGTGGAGGCGCAGCCGGTGGCAGGCGGTGGAGGCGCAGCCGGTGGCTCAGCCGTGCTGGCGGGGTGGCCTACCGGGAGGGAGGGAGTTGAGGGGGCGGCAGCGGAATCTGGGCGCCCTACGCTCTGTAGCTGACTGTCTTGCCGGGAAGCATCGCAGTCGGTCAAGCTGGCTCTGGTACTTGGGTCGGTTATTCACGAGGGATTTCTTTCCGGGAGCTTTATCTCTGATGCATGCCTTGTTAGTGCGGCAATGGATTGGTTGTTGGGGCGTACCATATCCGCCTAGAAGTCCTGTGCTTGGCAGTGATCGAATTCGCTGCGCCCGCTTCGCATTTAAAAACTTCAGCACTTGTTACAGTCTCTTACGCACTGCGAAAATCAAATTGAAAGGGATCGGGTTACATACTGATAATAACACAGAGTCCGAAATGCCTTCGATAAGTATGCCACTTCAGCGTCTTTTGTGATGCTGAAATAATGGACACTTTATCCTTATCCTCACGGAATCTAGCGAAGAACTTGCTTGAGGCCGTTCACTGATGTAGCGTCAGCCTGTCTCCTTATAGATGCAACGCAAACCACGCTGGCGCCAGCTAGTAAGTGATCAGCGATGCCTCCTCCCCCACCAGAGCAGGAGCTACCCCTCTCCAGCGGTCTTCAAATCTTTCAGTTCCTACTCTGGCGAATTGTGACCCAAGTCCGTCGATGAAAGTAGTGCTCATGTGGTGCACATCCTTTCGCTTCGTCAACTTATCGCCAGTCGCCCTGATGCATCCCGTCGTTGTATAAGGTCAACTTTAAACCGTCAGCTGCGACGCCCATGCTTACAGACCAGGTCTGCCCAGCCCGGGTCTGTTCAGCTCAGGTCTGTACAGACCAGGTCTGTCCAGCCCGGGTTTGTTCAGCACAGGTCTGCTCAGCTCAAGTCTGTTCAGCCCCGGTCTGTTCAGCCCGGGTCTGTTCAGCCGTGTCTGTTCAGCCCGGGTCTGTTCAGCTCAGATCTGTTCAGCCCGGATCTGTTCAGCGATGATTCCAGCGTCTCGCGTCGCGAGCGGGGAAAGGACAGGGCAAGTCGCCCAAGGGTATCGAATGCTCCCCGAGCTTGGTAGTCTCCTTTTAAGAGCAGGCTAGTTGAAAGTCATCGACGCTCGTGCCGCGTCAACAGCGCTTTTCATTGGGGACTTGACACGACATGGATGTCTTGGAAATGTATGATTATAATGATGACCACGACCGTTCCACGGGTCCAACTAATTGACATGGCCTAGTTCCCTACCCTTCCACACCTGAGTTGCACCTTTAATGTATACATGGCAAAGATATGACAAATTTGCGCCCCATGACACGACTTGGACTCGGCGTGCACCAGATCTTTACGAGATCTCTCGTGCACAGTCGCAGCCACCAGCAACCTGGAAAATTACTGTTGCGGAACCGGCCTCTTCAGCGAAAGTGTTACAGAGCCGGTGACGATTCTTCATCCGGAGACGCCCGCACGCGCACTCTCGTCTTCCTCCGCCTTTGTTGCGGTGGCGAAACCAGCCTGGTCGCCATCGCCGTGGGGCTCGAATCGCCCGGGGCGGCGCGCGCGGCCGCGGTCGACTTCTGCGGCGCGGTGGGCGGCTGCAAGGGCGTCTTCCAGCTCGTCCGAGCGTGACGAATGACCCTTATCGACGCTTGCAGAGCCGGGAAACATCGAACTGGGCGGCGGGAGGTGCCACAACCGCTGTTAATGACTGGCACAAGCTCGGGGCGCGCCCGGCCACTGCACCGGAACTGATGGCCGAGAGCAGCTAGCGTTGTGTCAGCAACATGCTGGCGGGAATGTGCACTCTAGGCGGGGGAAATCATCATCCGACTGCTCCGTCAGAGCACGGAGCGAGCTGGCTCCATGCTGTATTCAAATTTATGCACCTGGTTGTATCTTGTGTGTATGTGTCGTTCTCAAGTGACATTTGTAGCTGTTGCATCACAGGTGTTCGTGGACGTCTGTATTTGACCGACGCTGGTTACTTCATCTTACACCCGAGATTACGTAGTAACAAATGGGATGTTCAAAAGATCGGGGTGAAAGGCCTCCTGCAAATTGACATTGCTTATGCTATCATGCACGAAAACCTTACTCTTGCCGTGTGCTCAAGCCCAGATCTCGGAGGGGAGCTTCAACGGAAAGGAGACAGCGCCTACGAAAAAGAAAATGCTGACCAAATCAGAAGCCCGATAGCCGTGCAGATCATGTAGCCACACATATACTGAAGTTTCATGTAGAAGGTGTAAACGCACACCGGATATTTACGTGCGGACCCGACCACCCCAAGAAACTGACTCAACACAATGAAGACAATCTCGGCGTCGCTTATTCTCGGGGACAGGCAGGTCTGCTAATTCTGAGATCTGCCTCATATTGCAGTCAGTTGTTCTGTATCTCATTCCAGGCCTTATCATTTGCAAAGCATGTCAAACATTTGCAGACTGGCTTAGCTGAACAAGCAGTTATCGAGTCAAAATTATTTGGTGCCTCCAGCATACCATTTGGGACAAATTAACGTGATGGCAACAGTGATGTGTGAATGTGGCAATTCTACCTAGTGCAGCAATCGTTCATATAGTTGCTCTGCATTTATTTGGCCCAATGCTCCCTCTTTATTCCTATGCATTCAGGGGCCCAGAGGAGCAAAGGTATAGGGGAGTGAGGCCAGCACTCAGCGACTCACACCCCTCAAAAGTATATAAAGTGGCGTCCCTGCCTGCTTCAATATCTTTAAGTGTGAACATTCCCTTTAACCTGGGATCCCACCTGCTGGTCGAACCACACCACTAAAATAAGAGACGATGCGTATCACGGTTCGAAGACCTCATGAAACCATCGTCCGCGTGGTGGAAGACATGACAATACATTAGGTCACCAGGCCTTCCGGCAAGGAATGGAAAATGCACACTTTGTATGCATGATGTTTCCGTCTAAACCTTTTTAGATAAATCATGGGCACCTTCAGAAACGGAGAACAAATTTGGCAAGCGACGCGATTCCAGGTGGTGAGCTTCAGAGAAAACAACGGCAAGCGAGCGAACAAATCACCGAACGAACAATTGTTATCTCATTTTTATCTTTGATTGAACTCCCCCCATTCCGGCGAACCTGGCTGCGCCCCCGCTGAAAACCGTCAGACTCTGCACGCCTCAGTGCATTCGGAGAGCGCCCACCCCGGGGCAGCTGAGACAAGCCACTTGCAATGGGCCGTCCTTCCCTTCTGTCCGCGAACTCGAATGTCATTCACCGTTGCTTGCTCACCAACCGTGGCGAACTGAACGCGTGTCGATTTACTAGGCTTCGGCTGGTCTCGCTTCGGAAAAACCCGGGTCATTCGCTGTGACATGGCTTATAAGGTGACGCGGTTTTCCTCCCTGATTCGGCGTGACCGCCTGCGTGTAGGTGACACCGAGTAAACTCTGGGCCACCCACGCCAAACGCACTTTTTACTGAGCTTGTCCGTCCCGATGGCTCAGTTGGTTATAGCGCCTGCCTTCCGATCCACTCACCCGCGGCAGGGTGGGTTCGAGTCGCTTTAAGGCGCTCGCTATTTGCCCTTGATAGGTATGGCCTGCGGCTGGTGGCAGCGGTCGCGCTAAAGGTCAGTTGACGTCAGAGGGCAGGACGGACCGTGCCGAGCATTGCGGCACGTCAAGCTTTCGCCACTAAATTCTGCCGTTGTCTGGGATTGCGCGATCGGATGGTTCGGATGAATCGGATGGAGTCAGGGCTCACACAACAAGCACTGCTCAGCGAGAGCGGTGATCCCAAAAGTCCATCAATTCAAAGGGTTCGGATCAAATTTGTAAAAGTGCTTCAATGGACCTGCGCTGTAGGATGATGAAAGAGCATTCGCTACGGAACTCATCAGAGCTCCGTTTTGAGGTCGTTTCTCACATCTGTAGGAACGTTTCGGTGCTTACGCAACCATCCGGAACATCAACACTCCTCTGACATGATCAGGCGCTGCGACACGGTGAGTTAGAGCCATCGACACGTGACGGACAACGTGCAATCCCACGGGTCGGTTGCGACAATGCATCCATCACCTCATTTGCACCCGAATCGTGTTCAATTTTTCACGCAGATCAACTTAGGATAAGTTGCATCAGTTGACATTTGTTTGAGCAAGATTCAGGAAGGCCTGCGTATTTGAAAGGACAACGCGAGGAATCAAAACGTAACTCGTCCCACGGAAAGGGAGCTATCAACAGGGAAAAGTGTCTCCACGCAACCAAACATACACCACTGGAAAGCTGCGCAATCCCTGAAGCTAACCGGAGCGGTCAGCCAGTCATGCGATTGCCGGCGAGGTCAGCCAGCCATGCGATTGCCGGCGCGGTCAGCCAGCCATGCGATTGCCGGCGCGGTCAGCCAGCCATGCGATTGCCATCGAGACCACTCTAAAAAGCCTGACGAAACCAGTGAATCCCCCGCCGATCGATACAACACGGACAAAGCTGATCCTCACGTTGAGCAAACCTGAACCACTCATGCGCGCGACAGACGTGACCCCGCCCCGCAGGCGAGCTCCCAGCAGGACCTGCCCGACGATCGGCCGGGATGAGCCGGCTGGGCGAGCCGGACGAGTGCGCGCCGAGCATGGGCCTCGTTCCGCCTGGATGAGCGCGTGAAAAGCGAGCGGCGGCCCGAGACTGGGTCGGCACGCGTGCGGTTTGCAAGAGCATGCCGCTACGGCATGGGACAGTTAGGAGTGGCGTGTCCGGGAAGGAATGGGCGACGGAGTCCTGCGGCAGATCACGGAGGTCAGGGCGGGTCACGGCGGTCAGGGCAGGTCGCAAACTCGGAATGGTTCAAAGGTTTCAAGGACGGGTCTCAGAGGCCAGGGCAAGTGATGAGATCAAGGAGGGTTAAAGAGGCCTGGCGAACCCGCCAGACCCGCCATGGCACTAAATGAACCACTCTGACCGTCCTGACTCCCTCTGACTGTTCTGACTCCCTCTGACTGTTCTGACTCCCTCCGACCGTTCTGACTCCCTCTGACCATCCTGACTCCCTCTGACCGCTCTGACTCCCCTGACCGTCCTGACTTCCTCTGACCGTCCTGACTCCCTCTGACCGTTCTGACTCCCTCTGACCGTCCTGACTCCCTCTGACCGCTCTGACTCCCCCTGACCGTCCTGACTTCCTCTGACCGTCCTGACTCCCTCTGACCGCTCTGACTCCCTCTGACCGCTCTGACTCCCTCTGACCGTTCTGACTCCCTCTGACCGTTCTGAATCACTCTGATTGATCATCATAATCTTGTCCGCTAACACCCCCCCCGCACCCGCAGCAATTACAAGCTGTGGAGGACTCTCGTATATCTCACCCAGACTTGTCGTCCTCCTGCGTAATCATTATTGTCTCCCATTTTCAGGAAGCTTTGTCGCATTGAGGAGCATGACGACATCGTTCGAGAACAAAGAAGTGTACCTTGGCTGTTGCAGGGCTTGCACGATCATTGCTGTCTGAAGTGTTCCGCAAGAGCCTGCATGTATTTCATTACCCAAATGCAAACGTGTCTCAGTGAATGATACGCTCCATGATGGGTATATTGGAATTACAGGACAGGTACACGTGCTTTTAGTTAAGCAAAGCCACGGCCGCCATGAAACATTCATGACAAAACGGAAGACAGCAGTTTATAATCGCATTGGGACGGGGCCAGCAGCCGGATGGGCGGATGGCGTATAGCTATGTATATTAACCCAAATTAAGCATGCATGGGAAAAATAAGCCTCACAAAGGAGATAAGCCGGCGAGACTGGCGGCGAGGCAGCCCTCTCGAACTCCTTCGAGTGCTGGCGTTATGTCGGCACCGGTTCAGTGACTGGCCATCTAAAAAAAAGAACAGCATGTACGCTTCGCACCTGTTCACACGGCGCGGACGGATGAGCTGCACTCTGGAGCCGTTGTACTCATGATGAGCTGGACTCCGGAGCCGTTGCACTCATGATGAGCTGGACTCTGGAGCCGTTGTACTCATGATAAGCTGGACTCTGAAGCCGTTGTACTCATGATGAGCTGGACTCTGAAGCCGTTGTACTCATAACGAGCTGCACTCTGAAGCCGTCGTACTCATGATGAGTTGGACTCTGGAGCCGTTGTACTCATGATGAGCTGGACTCTGAAGCCGTTGTACTCATGATGAGCTGGACTCTGGAGCCGTTGTACTCATGATAAGCTGGACTCTGAAGCCGTTGTACTCATGATGAGCTGGACTCTGAAGCCGTTGTACTCATAATGAGCTGGACTCTGAAGCCGTTGTACTCATGATGAGTTGGACTCTGGAGCCGTTGTACTCATGATGAGCTGGACTCTGGAGCCGTTGTACTCATGATGAGCTGGACTCTGAAGCCGTTGTACTCATGATGAGCTGGACTCTGGAGCCGTTGTACTCGTGATGATCTGGACTCTGAAGCCGTTGTACTCATGATGAGCTGGACTCTGAAGCCGTTGTACTCATGATGAGCTGCACTCTGGAGCCGTTGTACTCATGATGAGCTGCACTCTGAAGCCGTTGTACTCATGATGAGCTGGACTCTGAAGCCGTTGTACTCATGATGAGCTGCACTCTGGAGCCGTTGTACTCATGATGAGCTGGACTCTGGGGCCGTTGTTCTCATGATGGTCTGCACTCTGGAGCCGTTGTACTCATACCAGACTCCCAAACAGGGTAGTTGTCGGCAAGCCGTGTGGTGACTCGGGTGCGCCACGTCGGAATGGCCTGTCACGCCGTACAAGCTGTGCTTAGCCTGCAGGCGGTCGTGTCTCGCCGCGCTGGCTGCGCGCGGCCCAAGGACGGCACCAGGTGGGAAGCAGTTATCTTACGGCTGTGAAAAGCGCGCGTAAATATTCAGATGCAGGCAACGAACACATGCTTATACGCCGGGCGTTGGTAAATGGGTGTATCTGACAGGCGACCATGTCAGAGTTGGGGATGCAATTGGGCATTGGGGATTTGATCATGGTGATACCGGGACAGTCCGGGCATGATCCAAATTCACGTGATTGAGAGCGGTCAAGCGTGTCAAAGTTGCGCTCCACCGCCACGCCGAGAGCGACCCGACCGACAGCCGACAGATATGACCGACAAGGCAACGGGACGGCCAGGGCGGTCAGCGAACGGCAGCAGGACGTGAGAAGAGAAAGGCGGGAGCGGTTCGTGGGGTTCAGGGGATATCGGAGGGTTCGGTAATTAAGCGATAAACTTTGGGTCATTGGTACTCAGCGACAGCTGGTCCCTGCCGGGGTCACTGACCCCGTGCACCCAAAAGTCACGTCCTGAGCAAAGACAAACGTAAAAGTGTACATTGCCCTGGTCTGTTGGTTTGTGGTATGTTCATCACGTTATTTGCGCAGCGTCTTCACCAAGGGTCAAGCTAGCCTCAATGTACCCCAGCCCGTGATAGGTGGGGATGTCGCCCCGCCCCTAATTTTGTCTGATGATATCTTTCCGGTATGTCGGGCACTCGCGCTCAAATCTTCAGCAGCTTCTGGGGCATTTATTGCACTCGTTTTGACACCACAAAAAGTAACTCCAGCATCTCCAGTTTTCGAGAAGCGTCGTTTTTTAGGAACACTGCACGGCGATCCACGACCGGAGCAGGCGGCGGACCAACACTGTCACATTAACGAACTCTTACATCATGAGCACACCCCTAAAACACATACAGCTAAGCTTAGCACATAGAAATGTGCTAAGAATTTAACAGGAAGCATGCCTGTGTAAGGTTCATGTTGGTACATGGCATGCTTGTGTGTACATGTTTGTATGTACATGCAACGCCTTACAAGTGTCATTTGGAGGAAAGAATGATACTTGATGGAGCCTAATCGGGTCAATTATCGACCAAGGAACGATAAAACATCACCAATCACGACATCTTGTTGAGAACAACCCACTTTTCTGCGGGACTTAATCGTTTTTAGCTTGAAAACTGTAAGGGGGAGAGAGAATGAGGGGAGAGAGCTTCATCGACCCCCATCATGCCGCATTATGGAAAAGGGCGAATCAAAGCAAGGGTTGGGGTCCCCTGGATATCGTTTTTGCAATACGAGATGGAGATATATGGATAAGCAACACGCTAAACGCAACAAAACAGAGGTCAGATAAAGTGGCCAGCTGAAGACCAATGACGTCAGCTGGCCGGCCAGTGACATCAAGAGGCAAGGTGATCTAGTGGCTGATCTAGGGTTTCGAAATAGCTCAGACTGGTGGAGCGGATAATTTTTGAGTCAATACGGTAGTAGTAATGCGAGCAAATCAAGCTTTCGTCACTTAACTTTAGCTCCATCCTTATCTGTGTGCTATTCCGAGGATCGAGAACATTCGGCGTACAAAAAAGATAGTGAACGGTGCATGTATGCTGCTGTAATGTACGCAAGTGTGCTTGCTGTAATGCATGTAGATATTACAGCAAATTACATACAGACTTGCAGTTTGCTACAAAAGGTATCGCTTGTACAGGACCGCAGATATGGGGTGTAACAGCCAAGTGGACGGTGCCCTTGACCCCCACGTGCCGGGAATAAGGCCCGAAACTCGTTGTGCAACAGGACCTGGGAACTAATATGATCTCCTCAGTCGCTGATACTCATAGAGGTTTCACAAAACTTTCGTGGTTGTTCCCGAATCTGTCTCCCTGTTCACGAATTTTCGTTAAAGGACTTCGCATGCACAGAAAACTAACAAACTGTGTAAAGACACTCATATTTGGAGGGGACTTGCAGAGGGTGTCCTCTCCATAGTGTCTTTTATGACTGCGAACTGTACGATCTGTATGCACGGTACGCGCGAAGGCCGAAAACGTGATTCGGAACTTCCCGCGCTCTCCCACGGCTGCAGCTAGCTAGGTTTAAATGGCCCATGTGTCGCATTTGATTATCACTCTCAGTCAGGGTGGTCACTGACACCTCCCAGTTTTGGGACACCAGTAAACGGCACAATAGCTCCATTCACTCTCTGACTCAGTCGACCACCACCACAAGTTAACCAATCGATTGAGCTCGAATCGCTGGAAACCATTAGAAATTCGACGGCATTGACACCGTTTCTACGTGCCGTGAGTGGTGTCATTAATTCCTGGCAGTCAATATCACGTGATTGGGAATAGATGGCGCCTTTGGTGTTGGGAAGTCGGCGTACGACGCGGGCGCGGCAGTGGCATTTCGGGAATGTCCGTCCTTTTGAGCAGAATGTGCGGAGCATTCCTGGGGATGTCAGGCAGCTATCTCCGGTGGTGATCGTGTGGATCGCAGCCAGTTGGGTTCCAATCTTGGATCCATGTGCCGTACAATCTTGATGTCCTCTTGAGGCGATCTTTTTGCGCCGTCATGGCGATCATGTTTGTGTGTGTATGTGTATGTAGGGGTGAGGGGGGAGGGGGTAAGGGGGCCATGCATCCTCAAAATGTGATATGTAAATATTCATGTCACATTAGTACTGAATCATTTTGCCGAAATATAACTTACTCGTGACTTAAAATTGATGGGGTTGATGAAAGTCTGAGCTTTTAACAACACTCAGCAGGCTTTCAATGAATCTCCGTGCTTTCTTGCTGC